AAGAAAAGATGAAAAAAAAAAGATTTCAATAGACACATCGAGACGAACAAAAGCATAGGCAACACTCATGATTTTAAAGGAAAGACCAAACAATAAAGGCATGTTTGGAAAGCCACCCTTTAATTGAATTTAGGGTGTAATTACACAGTTTTAACATGTTTGTCCGATCAAGTAATTACTTAGTCAGCATGTAATTAGGTGTAACTGGGGGGTGTAATTACACTCTGTAATTCTCAAGGGGAGCTGAGAATTGCTAGTAATTACATGATGTAATTCCCAGGTTATTTTTTTTTTGAAATTCTTTTTTTTCTTTTTAATTTACTTTTTATTTATATTATTTTTTTACTTTTAATTTTTTTAAAACTTTTAAAATTCTTTTTTTTTCAAATATATATTTTTTACATTTTTTATTTTTTATTTTCTTATTTCCTAACATTTACTTTACGCGTTTCTACATAATTTCTCATAATTTATTTCTTTATTACTTATTTTCTTTGTTTTAAATACACTTAGCTATGTTATTATTCTAAGTTCTCTAAAACATTATACCTCGTAATCTTAGAAAAAATAAGTCACTTGACTTATAATGAGTAATGTTATTAGAGTTGAACTTTGTTATGATGAGGTTATATGCAAACTTAAATATGTTAAAAGGATAGATTACTTTTTTAATATTTAAATAATATTCTTATTTTTCAATCTTTATTTTTTGTGATTCCATGTAGTTGCTTATATTTTTTTTCTTTTTTATTTAGCACAATTGTGCTATTATTCTTTTCTTTTTTTGAAATTCATCCTCCTAATATTAAAAAGAAAGAATCTTTAATAAAGTTAGCATATAATGAGTGATGTCATTAAGTAGAATCTCATTGTTAAATGAGGTTATAAACTTATGTTTTTCTTTTCTTTTGAATTATATTTACTTAAATTATGTTGAAACTTAGTTTAAGTTATGTTGTAATTTTACATAAGAGTATTACATTAATTTATTTTTTTTTGAATTTATGTTATATTTTTTATCCAATTTTATTTGCTTTAGTAGTATTCACTTATTATCTAAGATTGCATGCCATTCATTTTTCAATTAGAATTGATATATTATTTTTACATAAAATATATGATTAATATTATGGCATTATATTTATAAATATTAATCTTTTTATCAGGCATGCAGTCCATGATGTTATTACAAAATATGTACTTTTAGTTTTTATTATTCATTAAAGTAAAATTTTATTAATTTTGAAAAATATATATCAAATACTTTTACAATATTAGTTACAAATATGTGATTATTACTTAATATATTTTCAAGAATCAATATCTATCTTAAATGTCAAAATTAATATTATTTATAAAGGTATATATTTGTTAAATTTTAACTTTTAATTTTTGATAATTAACTTTATATATATAATTTAATTTAACTATGTAATTATACTTGTAATTACACTGTAATTATATTATGACACAAACAGGTTGTCGTAATTATAACATTGTAATCACTATCCTAGTAATCAGGGGCGGAGCTAGAGTAGATTTGGTTCAAACTCTGTATTTGTTTTAAAAAATTCATTGAATATATCTAAATTAATTTAACCTAGTAGCTTAAAACAATTAGAATTACGAACTCATAAACTTGAAATTCTGGCTCCACCTCTGCTAGTAATTACACCAATTCTAATTATGTAATGGTTTTCCAAACAGATCCTAAAGTAAAATTGGGACATTGAGTTCCCAAATAAGTAGTAATAATAAATTCATATATATTGAAAAAAGGGAGTAGCTTTTAGCTGGTGGACTCGGATGTTCAAATACGTTAATATGGGATAAGGTGTCCGTAATATTGCAAACTGCATGAGGCCATGTGTCATTATAGTAAACATACGGAGAGATTTGTAAATTAATACTTGGAATTTAAAAGAAAAAAAGAAAGGAGCTCAAATGGGGTTTAGGGTTTACTACTATCCTTAAAAAAAACAAAATATGAACCTGCAATCTGCTTGTTCTTTGCTTCAACATGAAGCTTCAATCCCCAAATGTTCTCAATTCCAGTTTCACAATGTAAGTATTTTTTTTTTGTTTTTAGCCCATAGCTATCTGTATATACACTTGTAAAATTTTGTTAATTCTATTTAGGTTTCTGTGTCATCTCTGGTGCGGAAGAACAATGGCAGAAGCTATGTTCGATTGGAGAAAACAAACCCTTTTGCTCAAAACGGTTTGAAATGTAAATTTCCTTCTTTTTTTCAATTTCCTCTGCTGGGTTTTATTTTATTGCTTTAAAGATATATTTTGGGTTGAAATGTAAATTTTCTCGTTTTCTTCGCAATTTCCTCTGTTGAATGCCTATTATTGACTTAAATATAGTATTTTGGGTTGAAATGTAAATTTCCTTGCTTCCTTTCAGTTTCTCTTTTGGGTTTTATTTTGTTCCTATAAAGATAATATTGTGGGTTGAAATGTAAATTTTCTTGTTTCTTTGAAATTTTCCTCTGTTGGAGTGTCTATATTGCTTTAAAGATACTATTGTGCGTAGTTGGAATGCAAAGTTCCTTTCTCTCTTTGTAATTTCCTCTTTTATGTACCTCTATATTGCCTCGAAATATAGTATTTTTTGCTCTGCTTCAATATGGTCTATTTGTTACTACAGTTATTCCATCACTGAAGAAGGGGTTGATAGTGTATGCCTCTAATTCTAGTCCTCCGGAGAAGTTAAATTATGATGGCAGGGAAAGTAGGAGTGTAAGTCTAATCGCCAGTAATGGGTCTGAACCATTTCGGGGTAAATCAGGTTCTGTTTCATTCCACGGACTTACTCACCAACTAATTGAAGAAAGTAAGTTGGTGTCAGCCCCTTTTGAGGAAAAAAGAAGCTCCTTTCTCTGGGTTATTGCTCCTATTGCGTTGATCTCTTCTTTAGTGCTTCCTCGGTTCTTCATTGCTGTTGCCATTGATGACTTAATCAAGAATGTGACCTTTGCAGGTATGCCAAAAGTTTAGTTAATACTTGGTTGTTACTTTATATGTGCTGATTTCTGTAAACATTGACTGGATATGCAAATTCTTGGAATGGTGCTGACTAATCTAGTGATTGGATATAGAAATTTGTGGAAATGATGTTAAAAAATTATCAGCTTTGAATGTTTTGATGTGTATAGTGAGGGCTAATTTAGTCAATTTTTATAACATAATTTAGGAATATCTCCCTTTTGGATTAAACAAACAATTTATTTTAGTTTGTTAATGAACAAAGAAGTGGGACCATGCTATTTTCTTAAGCTTGAATGTTGTGGTTATCTAGCTGATATAAGTTCCTATGGGAGGTACTCCGATCATGAACTGTCTGTCTCTTTTGGGATAAAGCATATAAGTTCCTATGGTTTGTTAGCAATCATCTATTCTATTCATTCATGGAGAGTAGAAGCTACTAGCTCAGACAATTAAAATGGTTAATTAGATACATCCCCACTAGATGTAATTAGCAGTATGCTCTAAGCTGATGGAAAACAAGATTTAAGTGTCTCAGAAGATTCCTCTGCTTTTATGTTTATGATTGTTGTATCAGCTGCATGTAGTAAAAATACCCAACTTTGAATTGTAGGTTGAAGTGTTACTTTGGGCTAGCTGATTACGTTCTGGTAGTTATGATAGTTTTAATAGGCAAGCTCGGTTGATGTGTAGCTTGCTTGTTTAAGCTGTTAAGCAACAACATTATGATATCTTGAATACTGATTTTATGGTCAGTTTTCTTCCACCTAAAAGCATCTTCCTGGTCGAAGAGTCGTATCATGTAATAGGATCTCTTCCTATTTTACCATTACTAGAAGGTAGCATGTTATCAGATTTACAGAACTGAGATTTTCCAAATTGTATGAGCCATGAGATTGTGAACATAGTTAGATGAACACGATTAGCTGCACCTGCTTTTATACATGTCAAAATTTAATGAAATCTACATGTCTTTGCAGAAATTGTGTCTTCATTTTTCTCTGAGGTCATGTTTTATATTGGCCTTGCGACATACCTTCGGGTCACTGACCACGTTCAGAAGCCATATCTACAATTCAGTGCAAAGAGATGGAGCCTTATTACTGGGCTGAAGGGATATATAACATCTGCTTTCTTTGTAATGGGGTTTAAGATTTTTGCCCCCCTCTTTGCTCTTTATGTTACCTGGCCTTCACTTGGCTTGCCAGGCTTGGTTGCAGTGGCTCCTTTTCTGCTTGGCTGTTTAGTACAATATTTATTCGAGAGATTTCTTGACAGACATGGATCATCTTCTTGGCCCGTGGTGCCAATTATTTTTGAGGTATGTATACTGCTACATTTTCTTTTTCTTTCGGGTGTGAAAGTAGAATGGAGAATTGAGGATTTCGAATATTTGCAGGTTTACAGAATATATCAGTTGACAAGATCCGTGCATTTTGTGGAGAAGCTGATGTTTGCCATGAGCGGAGCTCCTGTCACCCCGGAGTTGTTTGACAGAAATGGTGCATTGATTGCTTTGATAGTGACTTTCCAAGTCTTGGGAATAACTTGCTTATGGTCGTTGCTTACATTTCTTCAAAGGCTCTTTCCTTCCAGACCTGTTTCTGAAAACTACTAATCTTTGTAGATGAAGTTGTTCATCCTTTTCTTTTTTGTTTTATAGAAACTTTGGGTTGCATTAGCTTCAAATTATCTGATGCAGTATTTCGGTCCTGATACCGCTTCTTTTTTTAGCTACTTAACCAGAGAGGAAGGAAACCATAACGTAGCTCCCGACCACATAGAAAGGGAGCCACAGAACAAATGTCCAAATGTACAACGAAAGAATCTTTACACCTTGTTAATTAGTTTTTTACTTATCCAAAAAGGAAGAAGATAAGTTTGTTTCAGGAATAATTGAGTTTGATGGTAATACACTCTTAACCAGTGCCATACATGTTCGACACAGCAAAAGCATACTACTCCGTATCCATATTAAAGTATCAATTGCAGAATTGCAATGCTCATAATTTAGATCAATCAGACCAAATCACTTGAAAAGAAAAAATTGCATCAAATCTGATAATTCTTTGTAAAATTTCATGACTAATTCACCCTTCAAGAATAAGTCATATCCTTAATCAAGCCAGGAGAAGGGCTTTCTCTAAAAGAAGTTAAAACAGGTATAGGTTTACCATGGATATCAACTTGGAAAACTTCAGAAAACTCCTTAACTAAAGATCTATGAGCAATATCAATAAGTTGGAAATCATCAGTGTCTTGATGGTTTTCTGTACCACAGCCATTAGAGACTGAGAACTCCTTCAGTAATCCCTTTATGCTTCCAACTTGACGATCACGGATCCCACATGGAACTATCTGCTGAAAGGGAGCCAGATCTGCGGTGACATTCAGCGCTAGGCCATGATACGTGACCCATTGAGATACTCTAATACCAATTGCAGCTAATTTGCGACCCTCTGAAAGAAGCCAGTGTTAGACCAGTATTTCATGCCTCCCTTCAGAATTAAGAGACGTAATAATAACAATACAGAAAACTTGAGGGATAAAAAAATGAAGAAAAGGTTCGTATGCGAGGTGTGTGGAAGGGGAGAAACAACAATGTAATTGAGATGAAATTGCCAGTTCCCATGACTAGGCAACTCCTACGAGAAATTGTTCTAAATCACCAATGTCATTCATATGCCCCAGAGCACATGAGGGACCTTCAATACAAACCATTTTAACTAACTATTTTCACCTAAACCTTTATAACCACAGTATCTTAAAATCTTGTTTAGAAATATCTGATAATACTGTTGCAGACTGATATAGGCCATCCAAATAATATGGAGATTCAGAACTTACCGACCCAAACACCAGTTAAACCGTCAATTCTGGAAGCCTCCATAGAAAATGATGAAGAAAGAACTCGTATAATCACCTCCTCAAGGCTCCTGAGGTACCAATGAAGGTCCATCTTATGATATCGGAGATTGATGATTGGGTACATAACTAGCTACAATTTCAGATAAAAGCATCACATGTCAGAAGTGTAAGAGCTCAAACGAACACATGATTCAAAGTCTTTAAGCACATATGCAAATCCTAAGTAATACATTTCAAAAAGGGGAAACCTAACACCATCTACACATCCCTGCCCCAGCAGTTAAGCAGTGGAGAGTATAACAGCAGTCTTGTCAAAGCCCCATTTCAGCTTACCAACATCTGATTAGAGAACTTAGAATAGAAACTTTGCAAGCCCTTGAATCAATACCATCAAGCATTAAAAACAACCTATTCAGTCAGCTGCAGAGCACACTACGAAAAATGAGGATCATACTGCATCAATACAATTGGGGAAGTAGGCGCAAGTGAAATGTACCTGACCAGGGCCATGGTAAGTCACTTCACCACCACGTTCTGTTCGATACAATTCAAAAGGAGCATTCTTTATGTCAAAATGTAGATTCTCCTCAGAACTACCAGTACCCAATGTATAAACCGGCTGATGCTGCAATACAATGAGTGTGTCCGCAAGATCCTCATTCCTTTCAATTTGTGCTTTCCTCTTGTCCACAATAGCCTTTTGCCAAGACCATGCATTGGCATATGGAACTAGCTCTTTGTACATATCATAACAATCACAGCTAGCGTCAAGAACAGAGTTAACCTAGTGAAAAGCCTTAGAATTGCACAGAAACTGATCGCCAAATTGTCAAAGAAAATCTTACCATCTTTTGGCTTGACATCTTGTTAAAGTCAGCCTCCTAAAGATGGGTGTACTAGAGTGTTGCTTGCTCTCTGATGGGTTGCACAGTGGCCATGTTGGGGCTGAGCAAAACACTGAACTTGCCAAAACAATCATTTCTGCAAGATATGATTAGAAACAGATGAGCAACGAGTATGTAGAGAACCCCATTTATCTCAAATTGTAAATAACCTTCCCTTTTAACCAAAACACAAATTCAATAAATCAGGGACGAATCCAGAGATTATCTCAAATTGTCCCAAGGCAATGATAGAGGAGCAGATGAGTGCCGTCAAATATAAGAATGCTTCTTTTACTCGAAAGGGTCAAGTGCTCAAATAAGATAAAATATACATTAATTAAATAGATATTAAGAGGCAAGAAGCTCAGCATAACAACACCCTTGAACTTCAAAGTAATAAATCTTCTAATAAAAATCTGCATCAAATATTGAAAAATTTGAAATAAAAGCCTGCAAAACTTTTCTAAAATTTCATATCAGCACATTGAGATACAAGAATCAATTTTTCAAGTTTCGTATTTCAATTCCGTGACGATTGAAAACACGTCTTCTCCTTAGGAAGTGTGACAGAGGGCTATGCAAGGATTGCAAGGTTATCCCGGGTGAGACCCTCGCGACGCAGCATAGGCTCTTGGTGATGGACGTCGGTATCATGATGAAGAGGAAGAAGAGGACTGCACGAGGACGACAGAGAATCAGGTGGGGCACCTTGACTAAGGATAAAGCTCAGGAGTTGGAAGGGAGGTTATCGGCTGTGAGAGAGAGGAAGAACGTCGACAAAGGATTGTATAAGGGAAGCAGCGAGAGAGGTGTTGGGAGTCTCGACGGGTTACTCTGGCGGGCACAAAAGCGACTGGTGGCGGAATGAACTGGTACAAGGTAAAGTAGAAGCGAAGAAGGGGGCATACCTGAAGTTAATAAGGAGCACAAGCGAGGAAGAGAGGAGAGCGAACAGAGAGAGATATAAGGTAGTTAGGAAGAAGGCGAAGCTGGCGGTCACAGAGGCTAAGACTGCCGCTTTTGATAGTCCGTACCAGGAACTAGGGGCCAAGGCGGGGAGAAGAAATTATTCCGGCTGGCCAAGGCGACAGAGAGGAAGGCTCGGGATTTGGACCAAGTGAGGTGCATCAAAGACGAGGATGGTAGAGTATTGATGGGAGAGGCAGATTCAGTGTTGTTAAAAGTGACTGCTTCCTCGCTTAAAGCGAGAAGCGATGCGAAGCGAGACATCTGGCGCTTCTCTGATCTGAAGCGTATCAGGTACACAAAAAGGATCACTTCCCCTGAAGCGAACAAAGCAACAGAAGCGAGCTCTTCTCTTTATAACTGGGTTGCCAACGTTAATTAATTAAAAAGGCTCTCTTTTTTTAACTTCAAGATCATCAAGGCTGAGTGTGGTTGTCACACCTCTTTTTTCCTGAGGGGATAGGGAGTTTTTCCAATTAAAGTGACTATTCGAAATGGAATTATTTATTTATTTCAGAGTCGTCACTTGGAATAATTTATGGTGTCCCAAGTCACCGGTTTATTTTAAATCCCAAATCGAGGAAATTGACTCTATTTATGGTCTACGAACACAGAAGACCGGGTAAGGAATTCTGTTAACCCGGGAGAAGGTGTGAGGCACTCCAGGATTCCGTGGTTTTAGCACGATCGCTTTAATCATACATGGCTTAATTAAATTGTTTAATTACTCATTTTTAGAACATATGTACATTTACCTTTTTACCGCCTTTAATTATGGCGTTTATGGATTTAATCTTGAAACGGATTACATGTGTGTAAACCCGTTTTATTTGGGGCGCGAAAACCATGTCACACATACGTGTACACGATTTATCACGCTTTATAAATTAAAGATTGTTTGGCCGAAGTTGCGCGGACGCATACCTCGATTTAATTTTTGAAAAATCATAATCATGTCATGCGAACGTGTACATAATTATGATGATAGATTAAATTGTGTCTAAAGCGAACTACAAACATCCATAATTTGTTCAACTCCTAAGTTTGAGATTATTGTAAGGCCTTGTGTTATGGAGATTAATTGTGGTGAAATGGATTAGCTATTGATTCATTAACAAGTTCAAAACCCTGCGACCTGTTAGCAATTGTGCATTCAACACCACTAAAATTTAAATCAACTTTGAAACTAACTGGACAAGTTCGAAGAAACTGACCTTCAAGCTTGCCATCCATATTTTAAGAATTACCCAACAGATACTTACACATCCATCTTATGAGAACAGATGAAAATGAATGCAGAACAAACAAAATAGTTTAACATAGCTATAGCACATATTTCAGTTTCAGAGCCCATTTCAAATGAACACATTCAGATTCTTCAAGACAACAACAACAACCCAGTGTAATCCCACAAGTGGGGTCTGGGGAGGGTAATATGTACGCAGACCTTACCTCTACCCCGAGGGGCAGAGAGGCTGTTTCCAGGAGACCCTCGGCTCAAAGAGGCAACAAGAGACACTATATTAGTACTATCAATAGACTCATAATAAAACAACATAAAATACCATAAAATCCATAACATAACATAAATACCATAAAAACAAAGTAACAGCAATATAAGAGATATAGGAAATACGAGAATATGTAAGGTATTAATACACAGAAGATAAAGTCCATCATCAGTAGTTGATCAATAGCATCCTAAGACTAATTCCTAACTGGCTAGTCTCACTCTAGTGGTAAAAAAGACATCACAATTTCCCCTAACCTACAACCTTAAGCGATAAATCTATGGTATTACAAATGAAACTCTAACAATGATTAATTATCAACAGTAAATGTCAAATTATCCCTTAACATCTAACAACTCGAATATCTAATTTCAACCTGCTGAGAATTTCAAATCTTAACAAAGAAGGAATTCTAAGAACCAGTTTAGCAACTATACATGCTAGATCTAAACATTTGAATATGATTAGAGGATAAACAATTCCGTAGTCTAACAGAGGAGACAATTCAAAACAAGATCATCAATTACACACGATAGATCTATGCAGTTGAGCCGAGTTAAAAGATGAACAAATTTACTTTTCATATGGCATTCAAACGGAGTAACAGGGGTGTGTGCACATACCCGATTAAGCTGAGATAACAAAATTGAGAGCCTAATCCAGCCGGAAACAGCTAGTTCCTCTAGAATTAAGTTCGATGAAGAGAAAACCAAACAGGGGCGAAATTAACGAGTCAAGAATCAGCAGCAGCTCAGCTCAGCGAAATCCCAGCACTTTTACACAAACAGATATCCAGAAACTCCGAGAAATAAATTCGAAAACCAGTAGTAACCAACTTGAGCAATTTCGGACTCCTTTTTTCTTTCCCTTTTTATTGTTTTGTTCTTCAAATCAGAGATTTAGACTTTTCAAATTCCCAGCCCATTTATGTAAGCTCTTGAGTACGTGTGTATCAGGCGAGAGTGAGATATGGGTGCGAGGGTCAGAGATGGCGGCTGGCGGAGATGTGAAAAGATGAGGCGCCGCTACTCTCGTGTTTCCGGTGAGTTCGCCGATGACGGAAGCGACGCAGAAAACGAGAGAGAGGACTGTTGAGGCAACTGAAGGTGTTGAGAGGAGGGAGTTCTGTTGCTGAAGACGGAGGGGTGGCTGTTTTTCGTTGAAGAAGAGAGGAGCTATGGAGCGCCGCTGTTGGTTTTTTTCAAGGAGGAGGGTTGTGATTTTGGTAGGAAGGAATTAAAGGTAAAAATTGCACACACCCATTTTAACTTACGACGTTAATATACGTATATTAAAGCGTTACGCGTGTACCTATATTAATATATTAATGAGTACATAATTTTTTAAAAATTACGTAAATATTATTCGACTATATATTTAATTAATTTTAAATTATATAATAAAAGTTAAAGAAATATTCTTGGAACTGCTGAATGGTGTTCTCATTTAGTTAACTCAATAAATGAAGAAATCTTGGCCGACAAAAGTTTCTAGATAATTTATTGTGATTTATGAGTATGTGTGAGGTCTCATGAAAATTATTGTTATTTTAATGACTTAATACTAAAAACAAAACACAAAAGAGAATAAAAGGTTAGTCTTATAGCTCCAAAAATTAATATTGACAATGTAAAGTCTAAAAAATGAATGTGATTGAATTAATATCTTATAATAAATAATTTAATAAAAAAATAGAGCTAGGCATTGTCATTTGTTGGACTAAATGCAACGAAAAAAATGACAAGTTGTTTAAAATATATTTTTTCCTACTATTTCATTCTTAAATTTCTTACAAATATATATACCATTTATTAGTATAATTTCGATATATAAATTTATCTTATTTATGTTTCACTTATCTGATTGCGTTTGAGCTTTAACATGTATACGTTCGACAAAAATATTAAAGTACATTATAGTTATTATTACTATAATTATATTATTTTCAAATATAGTCTTGTCATTTTTAAACTTAGTTATAGATAGTTCCTAATATGTTTATAGGTTTGGTTTGCGATGTACATGAGACTTCAATATGTATAAACTTGATATTATAAAGTTATAAAAGTAATTACGATTGAGTTAATAACTACTATAAATAGTTTAATATAAAAAATTATAGTGAGATTAGCATTTGTAGGACTGGATGCCAAAAAAGGAAAACATTAAAAATGACGACTTATTTATAATATACTTTATTTTTTACTATTTTATCCTTAAATTTCTTATAAAGAAAAGGTACAATTTATTACCATTAATTTAGATATATAAATTTTGGTTTCTTATTTATATTTCAATTATCTAACCGAGTTTGTGCTTTAACATGTATAACTTCAACGAAAAATTTAAAATACATTATAGTTTATTATTACTATAATATAATTGTAATTATTTTAATAATTGCATTGTTGTCTTTGGTAAACTTATTTATAGATATATATTTTTTTACTCATCATGTTAGGTTTATAAGTTTGATTTACCATGTATAGGAAACTTCAACAATTATGGACCTAAAATTAAATCTATTACTTATTGGTAAATTTTAATGCACATGCACCCTTTCATTACTTTAAGTTATTTGTTGTAAAGAGAATAGTGAATAACCTTTAAAATATTCACACTAAAAGAGTAATAATTTATATTTATTCTCTTTCAATTAATTTTCTTTTATTTTTTACTAAAATAGTAAAATTCTAAAGAATTAACCGGCAATAATTCTAAAACAAAGACAACACTCCTAAACCTTGAATGAGTTCTAGTACACGCTAGTTTCTTACATTGATTATGCTGGTATGTCTTTTATAAATATGGTATATTATATAGTTTAAATAAGGAAAAAGATAATATTGAAATTTAGGTAATTTTAAAGTCATAAATATTAGGAAAATAGTTAAATGACTATTTTGTCTAGTGTATACTTTATTTTCAAAGGGTAAAAAAGGCGAACGATATTTCGCTAAGGGCCTTCGTGCTTTTAATATAGTATAGATAACTATATTTTTAAAATTACTTAACATATACGTTACTTGTGCGCTCCTTTCTTCCTTCTTTCTTTTCTACTCTTTATTTTACTCTTTATTTTTTTAATTTGTAGTATATTTTACTACTGATTTGCTCATAATTACTGTCATTTTTGTTGAAACAACATTTTAGAACTTTTCTTCATCTATTTATAATTCATTGTCCGTATTTATTATATTTGCAATGAATTCAGATTGATCCAGGAATGGGATATCAAACAGCAAGCTGATTGCGGCTTTATTGATGCAATTCTTACACTAAGCTCTGAAAGTTGAACTATTATGCTAAAGTTCAGCAAATAGAGAACAAAACTTCAGCCAGTACGACTATAGGACAAAAAAACTTCAGCTTATTTAGTGCTGAAGTTTTTGAAAAAGCTTTATGACAAAACTAACGAATGCAGGACAAAAAACTTCAGCTTATTTAATGCTGAAGTTTTTACAAATTAACTAAATAACTTCAGCATCTTCTGCTGAAGTTTTTGAAAAAGCTTTATGAAAAAATTAATGAATCCAGGACAAAACTTCAGCTTATTTAGTGCTGAAGTTTTTAAATAAACTAAATAACTTCAGCATCTTTTGTTGAAGTTTTTGAAAAAGTTTTACGACAAAACTATTGAATCCAGGACAAAACTTCAGCTAAAACATGCTGAAGTTCAGCAAATAGAGAACAAAACTTCAGCTAGTAGAATGCTTAAGTTCAACAATTACAAACAACTTCAGGCCCGTCTACTAGAATGCTGAAGTTTGCGTAATCGCATTTGCTACTTCAGACCCGTATGCCTGAAGTTTACGCGAAAAGTGGGTACGCTTGCAATTTTTTTTGCAAAGGGGGTATACGTTAAAATGTGACCCAAAAAGTGGGTATAAATGCAAATCACCTGAATTAAAGGGGGAATTGGGTGTTTTAGGAATATAGAGAGTTAGGCCGATCAGGTATGGGCTTGATTTAAAGCAATTGGGCCATTTTAATGTGACCCAGTCCAATTTTTGACTTAGAAAAATGGCCATCTTCCTTTCTTAAATCTTTTTTCTTTTTTGGACTTTAAATCATAATCAATTAAAACTTAAAATGAGTCCGAAATTAATCTAATTTGTAAAAATTAAAATTATTTATCTATTTCTATCATTAAAACAACTAATTAACTTAAAACTAAAGAAAGCTAAATATGTAAAAATGACCACTTTTGTGATTTTTGCTTAATAATGCAATTAAATCAATGTAATTAATTCCTAAAAGCTAAATATTAATTTTAAAAACTAAAAGCTAAATATGTAGAAATGACCATTTTTGTGATTTTTGCTTAATAATGCAATTAAATCAATGTAATTAATTCCTAAATGCAAATAAACCTAAAATATTATGCAATGAATATTTCAGACATTTTGGGTATTTTCTTATAATTTTAAGATATTAAACATGCAACTAAAGTGCAAACAACAATTAGCAAGAAATTCCTAAAAATTCTATAAAAATTAAAATAATTAAAAACAAATCTATTTTTTGTGAATTTGTAGGAGTATTTTCTGTAGGGTAAAAATTAGGTGCTCACAGTTACCTCAATGTCTTCTGTATTGAGCCTGCCGCACATGGATTGCTTAGTATGGTTTACATCTCCTGTGTGGTTTGCAGGCTTACCTAGTGCGCACAAAGTGCTCGCCACAGAGTGCTCACCCGAAAGGCAGAGACTGTGACAGAGATTGTGACGTGCACATTTGACATGTAGATATAGAGATACAACATTCCTCATATCAGTCATACTTCACATATTTTATCCATGTTGAGCTTAAACTGTTAAACTTGAAAGCATGTCTACATTTCTGTATTGTGTACAATTGATTATGAGTTTTCTATGAGGTATTACTGTCATTTTTCTTATCATGTTTGTACTGTTTTAATATGCATTGGCTTGTACCTTTCTGAGCTCGTCACTGCTCGGTTGTACTCATACTATACTCTGCACTTCGTGTGCAAATTTAGGTACTTCTGGACATGGCGGTTGCTAGGTTTGGAGTTTCTATTGCTTGGATACTTTTGAGGTAGTTGCCTTGGCGTCCGCAGACCTCGACTCTCCTTCTTTTTAGTTTATTTGTACTGTTCTATCTTTCTAGACAATGTCTTAGCAGTCAGATTGTGTTGTCATTTAGATGCTTATGTACTTAGTGACACTCGAATTTTGGGGGATTTTGTATTGAGTTGTGGTATTTTCTTAATCAGTTATTTATGAGATTTTTACTATTAAGCTTGTTTCATTATGTTTTCAATTTAAAGATGTGTAGTTATTTGTGGATGTCGGCTTGCCTAGTACTATTATAGGTGCCATCACGACATTTGAGATTTTTGGGTTATGACACCACCACAGCTCCTCTCTTCTCGAGGCAAAGAAACAAATTACATTTGACAGCCAAAAAGTGTATATATATATATATATGGTAACGGCTAAAAGTATACATTTCTCTATAAACGTTATGGTTCATCCGAATCCATTAGTTTTACCTCTGATCTTATATAATTCACTTAACAAGTACAATCATATGGGGAGAACGGATTTTTACCAATGAGACCAAAAAAAAGTTTAAAAAATAAACATCTAATATACATGCATATAAAGGATTTTGACATTATATGCACAATGTAATTTTAGGTTCAAATGAACCTGTCTCATCCGCCCTCTACTCTAGCTTTGTCCCTGGGTACAAATAATAGATCTCAAACCAGTAAATCTTCCTTTTATTTATGGGAAAAAAAAAATAGAGACAGTGTTGTTTATGTGTACCAAAACAGTTGATTCAATTATTTATTTATTTATTTATTCACGGATACACAAAAACAAGCCCAACCATCATTTTGTGAGCTAAATATATATTTATTTTAATATGGTTCAACCAATCTTACAGCTCCATAGTTTTTATCCTTACCCCCAAGAATTTGTCTTCTTGTTGCCGAATGCTTACTCCAAAGATGAAAGTAAGGAAATTCATGTGATTAAAAGAAGACGCGTCTCTACCAAGGCCAACAAATGTCACAATTCAAACGTGGTACTCACAAGTTTAAATCTGCTCTCCTTTACAATCATGTGGAAAGAAGGTGCGAATGAATAGGCCACACATTCAATTTTTGTTCTCTTCACTAGCTTGTTTCCTAAATATCTTTTGTATGGGGTTTACCCATGAATAGTATAGAGAAAGACGTCGTACAGAAACTTATTGATGAGCTTGAATCGTCCCATATAGAAGTGTCAAATTTAGCTTATTAAAATATATTCGGTTATATAATAGGGAAAACAGTTGCGTCAGATCAACATCGGGGTTAAAATCCACCTCCCTTTGCTTTATCAGCTTTGTTTCTTATTTGAACGGTCTTGACTTATAATAATTATAACTCTCACGTTACTTAATTTCTAATATAAGTCTTTTCATTAGCAAAAAAAAAAGTAAAACATATTATACAAATTTAAATAAACAATTGAAGAATGAACTTTAATTGAGCGATTTGGTTTTGACACATTAAGCTTCAACCTGTTTAACATATTCAAATTTAGCCCTAATTCTATTAAAAAAACCTATCACCTAAGTAGTTATGACCACTAAAATGGAACTTCAATTGCTTGACGTTCAATCTATTCGTATACACCGTTCACTAGGGTTTTACAAATTAAGGCACGTGGGGCGACAGCTGATATACAGCCCAAAGCTGCGTTTTAAAATTCAACCATGTAAATCAAAAAGGAATCCCACTTTCCAAATTCTGAAATTATTCTCTCTACGAATAGAAGTCCGCGGAATGATACGAACTGCCACGTGTGCGGAAGAGAATGCTTATGACCCTACACACTGTAATGTAACATTGTTGAAAAGTGTTTTTTAGTTTCCCACTTGGTGTTTATTGGAGCCCGATTATATCCGGATTCGCGCCGCGTAGGATCCCATTCGGAAAAGAGCTCCCTACCAAGGATTTTTTCATACCTAGGACTCGAACTCGGGACCTCTGGTTAAGGAAAGATCAGTCTCATCCACTGCACCACATTTTTTGCGGTTAACATTGTTGAAAAGTTCATAATACCTTACCAAAACCAACCTCTCCAAGAAAAGTGGAGAACAGTGCCAAAACAAAGGTCACATTACTTCACGACAATACTAGCTAATATGCCACGAATCTTCTGCACTTTTTCTGTGTATTGTATATAAATACTTGGGTCCAATGGAGAAAGAAAGTAAGTCAAAAAAAATAAAGAGAAAATTAAACAAGCTGAAAAATGGCCATCAGTGGTAGATTGTTACGTACCTCAAAACAATTGGGGTTAGGTGACAATGCTCGGAAACAAACACCTTGTAAATCTTTCAGGAATTATTCGTTGAGGTTACTATGTTTAAACAAAGGTAGTAAGATTAATGTTGGTGGCGGAGATGTGGAGAAGAAACCAGTGGCAGCTAAGGCTCATGTTGGTGGGGCAGGCACCATGTCAAGATTGGCATGTGTGGTTGTTGACGAACCAATGACACAGAACTGGTTTCCAGATATCGGTTTAGTAGCAGAAAATGTCTCAGATCTAATACTTCAGAACTTGAAAAACTTCCTCAAACAAATGCCGCAGAAGTTGCATCATCTACAGTTGTTCATCGAGAAGGTATGGATTTTCTTTTTCTCATAGGGATATAAAATGTCGTGTCTGGCGGATTTATAGGCAAAATTATGGGGCACGTGAACCCATGGTCTTTCCGCAAAATTAGGTATTCTATGTACTTATTTTCTAAATTGGTATATAATATTAATTATTGATATTCATACTCCAAGAAGGTTGAATGATACACTTGGTTGAATGTTGAGTTATTTATTAAGAGGAATAGGGATTAATTCATACTTAATACGTTTTTTTCTCATTTTTTTAATAGTGCACTCATGTACTAAAAATTTTAGATCCGCCTTTGTCAATCTATGCGTCTAACTAGTAGAGGTATGAATACAGGGTGTAAAGTTATCGACTTCAAAATCAGTGTGATTTTATTGTATGGATTTTTTTTTTTGTGTGTGTGTATACACAGTTTGAAGTTCCGCATAATAATTTATGTCCACAAGTCCAAATCCCAGATTGACATTTCCTACTTCCTGTTAACTAAATGAATAAAAACCCAAGAAATTGAAGTATATTCTTATGCTAAAGATTTGTTTTTTCTTAGTGGATATATGGAATTCTGTTTTGCAGGGTATTTTGGATTGCCGGTTCTTCACTCTCTTTGCAGTTGCAGGGACTTTGATTGGTTCATTATTATGCTTTGTTGAGGTAATATATATTAGTATTATTATTATTATTATTATTATTATTATTATTATTATTATTATTATTATTATTATTATTTATGATTATGTTGTTTCTATTTACTTGTATCATCAGGAAGAAATCATTGAATTTTACAATTTTAAGACTAATACATAAACATCCTCGTTATTGCAGGGCTGTTACCTAGTGGTAGAGTCATACTTCCACTATTTTATCGCACTCTCACAGAAGTCAGACCTAGGACATGTCGTGCAGCTATTGATCGAAGCTATAGGTAAGTACTTCTTTCTTAATTTATTTTTATACTATCAACGTATTTTAACCGATTATAGCAGATAATTGACTGCATTTTTATGTTACCAAATTAGAATTAACTCTAAACGAATAATGTTCTATTTTTTCTTTCAGATATGTTTCTTTTAGGGACTGCTATGCTTACTTTTGGAATGGGATTGTATGTCATGTTCGTGGGATCAAGAACTAATGTTGAAGGAGATCAAAGGTCGGGCCAAAATTTGTTTTACTTTCAGACACTTCCATCGATAATGGGAATGAAGTCAGTGATGCAAGCTAAATCAAGAATAGGACATGCACTAATAATGCTACTTCAAGTTGGAGTATTGGAGAAATTCAAGAATGTTCCTGTGGTTAATGGACTGGATCTTGCTTGTTTTGCTGGAGCTGTGTTTGTTTCCTCCATTTGTGTATTCATTCTTTCTAGACTTGCTGTCTCTACCACAAAGGCTGGCAACTAAGAAAGTCTACCTTTTGATACCTTTAGGTGGAGAAGTATATATATGTATAGAGCAAGAAAATTTGCAAGCAAAATAGAACTGTATACTAGTCAACAATTAGGACTTCTTATATATGACCTTTTTGTTAAATATTCTTTCAATTTGTAACAATTCAATAAAAATTTATTCATATTTCTTTGTACATTATTCCGAGTCAGTAAAGAGAATTGCCTTTCTATGTATTACGATTCCTTTGAATAGTGAATTCTTTTTCCAAGACTCCAACATAAAAGAACAGTGGGAAATATAGTATGCATAATTTTATGGTCAATACTGAAAGAGGCTGATGGCTTCCTCATTGACAGAATCGTTTTAAACAAGAGAATAGTGCAGAGAGTTAACTTGAGTAGTTGACAATACTACACTAGAGAGGTTGCTTATTAGAAATTTTAGTCTAGGCTCAATATAGTAAGTAATTTTTCACCTACAATCAAGTAACCGAAGACAAAGAACGAATACAGTCAGACTTCTCTATAATAACATCTTATATAACACTAGTTCACTATAAAAGTCAAGTTTTTACCGGAACCAAATTTCATGTTTTGTCATAATATATGTTTCCTATAACAGCAATTCGCTATAACATACAAAAATATCCGGAACAAACGAGGTTGTTATAGAGAGGTTTGACTGTATAATGACTTAAGTATGGAACTATTTTTAGTCTTGACATCGCCATTATTATCGAGCAAATCCTGCACTAATCCAAGAGAGCTAAACTAGGTGCTTTACATTTGTTAACGCACCTCAATATTAACACAGTAGAATGCGAACCCTGGCAGAATACCCAACAAATTTAACATTTTCAGAAAACTAGTGATAATAAAGAATAATAAATTGATAAAAAAAAAACCTTCCAAACAACGCCACTTTGTTCAAAAGAGATGATAAAAGAATTATAAATCAATAAAAGACCTTCCACACTGTTTAAATACACAACATACTCGCTGCTCTCCTCTTCTTCCCATTGATGAAACCCCCTCGGCCTCTCCCTATCCCTTCAGGGCTTCAAAAACATTGCCCTTTGAATTCTGAAGAATAAATAGGAATATGCTTATCCTATCCGATCTCTCAATCCAATGTCATCAACACACATAATAGAGGAAGCAATATGCTCGAACCTTGGAGAAAGACCTGAGCATTCTTGTTTCGGCTACCTTTCTCGTGCAAACAACGAATATACATCAACTTGTTAGAGGCTTCGCTTTTCTTATGTGACCCATGCTATTAACCAGATCTTTACGTGTACAAACAGGGAACATGTTGATATTCCTAAACTCTTTGAACCGCCAAAGGATGTATGGAAAACTCAGCTGATCACGGGATGTAAAGCGAACCACCTCATTGAACCATAGGCACATGAACAGATTAGTCGATGGTGTGTGCTCTTTCACAATAATTGAAGCCTCAGCAAGAGCTGCACACATAAATTGACTGTGAGAATGACTTATCTACTTGGGAGGAAAAAAAGGTCGTCTCGTTTGTGGAATTGAGGTACAATTTTATAATGATTATGCAGTGGATAACAATTATGGTAAGTCCATCCCCAGCTGACAAGGGAAATGAGAAATCCTACCTTTCTTCCCATTGAATCTCTTATCCTCAGGGAGGCCATCTTGACGGTACTGAGCTAACTGCACCTCCACTTCCTCCGGGGTGGCTTTGTTTTTCTTGACAACAGCCTTTGCCTCATCATACACGCTACTGCGAGCCCCATGTTCTGAGATTGCTAGCACAGAGTTTGAATGCCAGAGCAAAGCTTCCAGCACACCCAATGGATCCCTCCTAAGTTGGGATTTCGAATCTACCCAAATGGAATATCTAGCATTCGGAAAGAGACGATGGGCCAGCATCTGATTAATTTAGACATGAATTAAATCCTGATAAAACAGCTAGCAAGAAAAAAAGTACACATTCACATAAACCTATTATTTAAAAAATTTCAAAAGGATAAACATAAGAAACTTGAAAATTTATTGTGAGAGAGTATTGTGGACTAAATATTGGACAAAAAGCATCAAAACCCTAGCACAAACATCCTGAAAACTACTTTTTTGGTCAACGTCCTGAAATCCACAATTGGAGACCATGACTTGCTGCCGCATTATACAGATATTTTTTGTAGAAATTTTACCTACTAGATCAATGACAATAAAGGCACATGAACTTCAGATGCAATCATCAATTAAATTATGCAATTTCTGCAGTTATTGCTACAATGGGGAGCCCAGGTACAGAGACAAAAAATGGAAAATCAAGCAGTTGGAGAGTATGCAGGTGAGATGATGGATTTTCTCCAAAATGATACATGGTCCAAAAATCCAATTATTAAATCTTAAAGGAAGCATCAAAAGGCGACTAAATTTGACTTTCCCGACATTATTAATCTTCACAATTGGATCATCAATCCGATTTGCTTTATAGCACTTCTACTTTGTAAGGCACCATTATTTCTCGACGCATCGTGGAGAAGAATCTTGTTATCGGGAGTAAGGCAAGATTAACAGAAGCTTCACTTTAAGTATTAGGATATTTTCATTGTAAAATACAAAAGCATACAATAAATCGAGGAATCGGGCAATAAGCATACCTTTGGGATTTTACCATTCAACCTTTGGTCTCGGAAAGGTAGATCTTTAACAAGGATAATGCGCCATTTTCCGATATAATGGTCATCACCAACTTTATGGCCATCTGCCTCTTGTGATGCAAGTGTAATTTCATCCCAAAAAGCCACAAAGCATACCTGCATCATTTAATTCCAAAAACATTGAGTAAACTAATGTGTCCTGCATCATTTAATTCCAAAAACATTGAGTAAACTAATGCGTCCTGCATCAATTAATTCTCCAACGCTCCAACCCAACTACTTTGCAATTGAAGTGTAATCGCACATCATGTAAACTAAAGATTGAAAACCACTCTTAAGCATTAACAATCCCAAAAAAGTAACCTTCTTGAGAGATGACTCTGACATTCCTATAGGTTGATAGAGATCATCTCCACCACCAAATGCACAAGTCGACACCACAGCTTTGCAGGATTCCATATAATTTCTATCTTCAACAGAAATCCTAAAGCCTCCTTTATCACTGTAAAAACCACAGTGGATAGAAGCCTCTCCTTTCACCTGAGAGATAATGCTTAAGCAAATTGTCAAAAGAAAAGGAAAGAGAGAGATACATAAATTATTTCATAGGTAAATAGGCAATCACCAAAAGCAAGATGCAGGTCGACAACCTTAAAACTTTCATCCCTTTGCTTGAGAGTTTGGTTTCCTGTGAATAAATTAAATCTTGTGGACTCCGAGTGTTGCTCAAGTGGCATATTCTCATCAACATAAGCAGGATTTGCCTCTGTGATGTATACCACCCGTTTAATAGGATCAGCAGGTACTTTATCCATGGGAAAATCCAGATGCTCAAGCTCTTCAGCTGGTAGTAGCTTCAAGCAGGCTGAGAGATGCATGATTTGTTGCACATTATTGAAGACGATGGGCCAAAAAACATATCCACTTTGACAAGCATTTCAAATATCTTGTACATAAACAAAATCACTGTGTAATAAACCACAAAGGAATACTGAATAACATAGTTTTACTTGAAGAAAAGCCAAATGATCTGTCCCATATGTCAGCCAGATCACTTTAGCACCAACTTTATGATTCCTCCTATATCTTAGATACTCATATAATAACTCCAAGTATGAGTCCGAGCAACTTAGCTTGCGAGTGACACTTGTTTATTCATTTAGAATTTCCTTGTAAATGCTTCCTTTCAATTGTCCCAAAAATTTGATCTCTTTCCCTAAAAAGTCAAATTATACATTAACTTGACTTTTAAAATTAGATGACTTTGTCATTTAGGGAAAGAGGTCAAATTTTTGGGACAATTGAAAGGAAGCATTTACAAGGAAATTCTAGATGAATAAACAAGTGTCATTCACAAGCTAAGTTGCTCGGACTCGGGTGCGGGTATCCGATACGGGTGTCGATCTAGAGGCCGGTTCGTGATCTAAATTTTAAGATTCGGGTGTATGAACCTAGGTACGGATATGGGTGGGGGGAGTCGGGTATATCTAAAAATAGATCTATAAAAATATGCCTAAATTATGAGACATTGTGGAAAACTTGCATGCAGTGTGTAGAGTTCATTACTCAATCTTTTATTATCAAGTTGTAGGTAGTCATCCAGAAATCTACATTAGCTTTTGTCTTAATCAGAAATCAAAACGCCAAATCTTATTTCTAATTTCTCCTTATTTTGTGGTCAAAGTACTCAATATTGATTGACCAGATCCGGAACGTATCCCACACCCATACTAGTATTGGTGTCGTGTCGACATGGGTGCGACGCCATAAATGAAGAGTCCTTGCAACTTAGCTCGCAAGCAGTTCGCTAAGTAACACCCTTAAAGACCCATATTGACCAATATTGAAACTCCCAACTAATAGCCCTCGTCTGGAAAGTTCAAGGGAAATCAATTGGGAGTGGAAGATCTTGAATAAAGCACTGAGCTCATAAAGACCAAATTTTTATCATTGCCCTTATGCCTAGCACATATTTCATCTCTTTGTAGAATATAACAAATCACAAACATTAAGAGCTTCAAATTGGATGCTTGGTCATACATTACAAACATGCATAGTTCAAGCAGCCTGTCGACTCCTTAAATCATTCAACTTTTAAATCACTATATCAGGGGCATTTCATATAGAATGTAAGAAAACTTCAATTGGATTTAGGTTATATACTATAGGATAAAAAGAATTTGCACCATCAGTAATATTTAACCTGCATTAGTATTACCTTAAGAGATTTATTTGTAATTACCTAATAACTGACCTGATATTTTAAATATATTTTACACCATTAGTGAAGAGAACTTAAACTCAATTCAATTATACAAGCAATGTGCACATTCTGCCTAAACTGACATCGTAATAATAGCAAACAGCAGTTTCGCACTTAAATAATTTAGATCATAATGCAAAAATACTCACGCTCTCTAACTCCATGGACAACATGAGTGACCGGATCGAGACGATTTAAATTCGCCGGCGGTTTCTTCTCAACAGGCTTATTAAGCTTTTGTCCGGTCACCGGATCCGGTTTTTTAACAAGCGAACTAGGTTTCCCTCCAATTCGAGAGGCCTCGAAGATGAGAAGAGCTGCGGCAAGTAAGAATAGGAGAACAGGCCACCACCGGAGAAGCTTTTTAAAGATAATATGAGTGCAACTGGTTTTGCTTCGGTGACCGATTTTCTTTCTCTTCCTTCGAGCTCGTGCCCTAAGCTTGTTGGCAAATTCGTCGGGCTCGTCATCAGAGACAGTAATGGAGATACTGTTGTTGTTTAGCATCGACGACATGGAACGGCGGCGATTAGACGGAGAGATTTTGCAGCCGGCGACACGTCGTCCGTTCTGATCTTTCTTTCTCGGCCGAATATATTAGCTAACGGTGACCAACGCATCAAAAAGCAGAAGTTAGCTTCTTCTTCTTTTTTGCTTTTTTTTTTGTCTCTGATAAAATTCTTTTTACTTGAATAAATTTTCGTTTTTTGTTCTTAGAATTTTAGTTATACATTTACCATAAGAACTAGGGGTGGAGCCAAGATTGAAGGCTATAAATTTAGAATTCTAACTATTTTAATTTATCAAGTTCTAAATTAATAATTTATATATATTTAATAAAAAATTAAGATAAATGTTGGATTTGAACAAAAGATACTAAATTCGTAATACGTTTTCTAGCTCCGCCCCACAAAAAATAAAGTCATTATTCCTTAAACTATGAAATTAATTAGGGTGAAGTGCAATAATAGTCATCTTAAGCTCGCTCTTTAAAATATATCCAAAATTTATAATGTATTTGAAGATTAGACAATTCACCCAAACTAAGCTAGCGTTTGGACATAAATTTTGCTGAGACTTGAAAAAGTAATTTTTGAAGTAGTTTTGAAAAATAATTTTTGGAAGTTAAAATTATGTTTGGACATGCATTTTATTTGAAAAAAATTTGAAGTTTTGTGAGTGGGAGAACAAGTTTCACCCAAAATCTACCCTAAACTAGATTTTGGGAACTTGAAAAATAATTTCAGAAATTTTTCAAAAATAGATCATTAATCTATGAACAAACAATGTTTTCAAAAAAGATTTGAAAAAATATTGCCAAAATGTATGGCCAAACGGGGCCTAAGTATCTTGAATTTGGAAATTCAAGACTTAGTGTCCTGAATTTTTGAGCTACTAATTTGAAATTCACGATTGAGTGTCCTAAATTTCTGAACTACTAATTTAAAATTCAGGACATAAGATTAAAACTTATTGACACAATTTTCGAACTTTATGACATGATGTCCTGAAATTTGAACTTTGAGGTTTAAACTCTAGGACGTCATGTAACGACCCGACTAGTCGTTTTGCTTTATAGAACTCTGTTCCCCTAAATAAGACTTCTTGTACTTGTTTTTACTGATTTATGACTTGCGGGGATGATTGGTTCGGAATTTGGAAGAGTTTGAGTTGAAATCGGAACACTTGGTTCCTTAAGGTTGGCTTAAAAGGCCAAGTTTGACTTTGGTCAACATTTTGAGTAAACGACCTGGAATCGAGACTTGAAGGTTCCAACAGGTTTGTATGATGATTTCGAGCTTGGGCGTATGTCCGGATCGGGTTTTGGATGACCCGGGAGCGTTTTGGCGCCTAATAGTGAAAGTTGATTCCTTAAGGATTTTTAAAGTTCTTTAAATTTAGTTTGGAGCGGCTTTTGTGATATCGAAGTCCAAACGGAATTTCGAGACCAAGAATAGTTCCATAATGTCATTTAAGACTTGCACGCAAAAATTTGGTATCATTCCGAGTAGCATAAGTATATTTCGGCACGTTGGAAGTAGATTGAAGAACTTGAAGTTCATAAGTTTGATTCAATTTGTTTTAGGGTGTAATTCTTAGTTTTAATGTTGTTTCGGGCATTCCGAGGGTGCGAGCGAGTCTGTTTTATGATTTTAAACTTGTCGGTATGTTCGGGCGGTGCCCCAGGGGCCCCGAGCGTCAATCGGACGAGCCTCGAGCTAAGTTGAAAATTTGAGAATGAGCTGAAGCTCCAGTTGCTGTCACAACCACACCTGCGGTTGGCCAGCCGCAGGTGCGAGCCCGCAGAAGCGACTAAGCCATCGCAGATGCGGCCCAAAGGGAGGAGCTCAGGTTCCGCAAATGCGGCCCCTCTTCCATAGAAACGAAACCGCAGAAGCGGTCCCCTGACCGTAGATGCGGCCCCAGCTAGTCCGACCATTTTCCACAGAAGCGGACGATCTCCCGCAGAAGCGAGACCTCAAATGCGGTCCCCTCACCACAGATGCGGAAATCGCTGAAGGCAAGTGACCTTCATTTAATATGAGAGTTTGTCATTTTTGACATATCTCACTCCATTCTTGCGCGATTTGAGAGCTTCAAAAGGGGAGACTTCCATCTAGCTTTGTGAGGTAAGTTATTTCTATTTAATGTGAGTTTAATACATAGTTTATGGGTAGATTACAACATGTAAATTAGTGAAAATTATGAGTTTAGAGTAAAACCTAGGGTTTCGATAAAAATGAGATTTAACCACGAAATTTATTCTGGAATATAGTAGAAATCATATATTCTTGATCCTAAGGTTGTGGATAACGACTTTGTTCGAAAAAAATCTGGAATCCGGGCACGTGGGCCCGGGGATAAATTTTAGGAACCTTGCATTTAGGGTTGGAAAATTACTTTAATAATAAGAATGTAAACTCTTGAGCATATATTGACTAGTTCTTACCCCCATTTGAATTTTTGGATCGTTCGGCTCCGATTTTAGGGTTTGAGCGTATTCTTGAATTTGAAAGTAAGTTTTGGGGCAAGATACGTCTCATTTCTAACCTTGTAAGAGGGAATTTTCCCCATAAGAGTAATAATTGAATATGTGCCACTAATTGCGGGGGCTACGTACGTACGAGGTGACGAGAGTCCGTGCGTAGCACTATTATGCTTAAGTCCCGGTAGTCTAGAACCCAAAAGCATGATTTACTTGCCGTATTTGTAACTTTATTGTCAATTCAAAATGCGTAAATCATATCGAACTTGGCAAATGAATTTCTAAAAAGCTAAACATCATTTTCTTGACCGTTAAAGAGAAGTTTGACATTACTTCGGGTAATTTCTTTCCTGATAAAATAATTGATTAACTGTTTGATGTGTTTATCTGTATTTGACCGTGTCGCATGTATGATTCATGAGCACGGTAATAGATGCATCTATGGTTCGCGTCGTTCGACCCTCCGGCAATGCACACTTTATTATTATATTGGATCGGGTCGTACGACCTCGGCATTATTTGCGCATGCTGTTTGCTTGGTATATTCTGTGATTTGAACTGCTTTAAATGCCTTGAAATATAGATTGTTAACTGAAACGTCGGAAACTGAAATATTATTTATGAAAGAACCCGTCACTTTTCGTTATCAACTGTTATTTATTCATGACATCCATGCTTAGCGTAACACTTAAATTATATTATTATTTAACCCTAGTAAGTGTCAAGTCGACCCCTCGTCACTACTTCTTCGAGACTAGACTGGATACTTATTGGGTACATATTGTTTATGTACTCATACGACGCTTCTGTACTTAATTGTACAGGATCTGAGGCACGTGCATCTAGCTACCCGTCCGGCGCACGTTCCTGATACTTGACCGAGACTCCACGGTGAGCTGCCCCTTCTGAGCCATTCAGCAGCATACCGGAGTCTCTCTTTTGTTTATTATTGTCTATTCTATTTTAGGCAGTAAGATATTATATTCTTTTGTACATTCTACTAGTTGCTCTTGTACTTATAACACTAGATCCTGGCACACACATTAGTAGAGTGTTACTTTTGGCTTGTATATTATTATTATAATTCCCTTATTCTTTTTCTGATTCAGTTGCCTTATAAAATTGTTAATTATCAACTGTTTTAGATTTAAGCTAAGTAAATATTGGGATTGTTTATGAAAATAAAAGAGAACTCACTAGTTGATTTAGGGTTGGCTTGCCTAACAACGGTGTTAGGTGCCATCACGTCCTATAATGAAATTTGGGTCGTGACGCGTCATGTCTTGAAGTTTGAGCGAATTTGGCTAATCTTTGAATATATTATAAACTATGAATATATTTTAAACAACATGCTTAAAAATGGTTACCTGGTGTCATTTTCACAATTAATTAGAAGCCAATTATTATAGGGAATTTGGCATGCGTGACAACTAGGTCCAACAATTGGCATAAAAGCCAAACGTTTTAGGATTTGGCATATGGTAGCCTAAAGTTATTCTCTTTCTTCTAATGGTTCAACCACCACCCTATCATAAGCCCCATCAAAATTATTTTCCTTAAAAATAGCAAAAAATATTTAAAACTCTCTCTCTCTCTCTCTCTCTCTCTCTCTCTCTCTCTCTCTCTCTCTCTCTCTCTTCTTATAGCAACAATCATCCTAGAAATTAGGTTCCATTTCCTTCAGTGGTATGAAAAAACTCTCAAATATTTTTTAATTATTTTTTTTATTTTTTTTATCTGTATATTCAAATATATATAACACAATAGTAATTATATTATTTGTATATCACAGTGTATAATGTAATAATAATGTGTATATCAAAAAAGTATATTAAAATTTTATTTTCCTTCTTTGTATAACACATTTCAGATTGAAAACTCAGGCTCAAGACGACTCCACATGTGTATGCCCTTTTGTATTTCGTGTATATCTCTATGTACATTAGTGGTATCTCATGTATATCATGTGTATATATGAATATCCATGAAAATTTGTGTTATATTCACGATATACAATATGATATCCACGGGCGTCCATAAAAAATTGTGTTTTATACACAATATACAAAGTGATATACACATACATTCGTAAAAATCTGTGTGATATACACTGATGTACACAATATACAACGTGATATACACTGATGTACACAATATACAGCGTGATATACACATGTCGCAGTTGGATTTTTAGGTCATTTTTTTTTACCTGAAACCAGTCTAAATCACTTATAATCTTACTCAAAGTTTGCATATAACCCCGTCTAGATATTTTCAACCAATTTCAATCATACCCACTAGTTCAATCCAACCAAAAAAAAAGAGAGAAGAAAAACAAAGTTGAAATATATTTTTTCTCTCTTAGTTATTGCTTCTAATTTTCTCTGATGTGAGATCAACTTTACCTTTTCATCCCACTGATTATTTTGCATAATTTGCAAAACTATGAGAGCGAAAGAGAAGAGATAGAAGGAAAAATACATAGAGAGAAAAGGAGAGAAAAAAAAGATTACGTAGGTTAGAGAGAGAGAGAGAGAGAGAGAGAGAGAGAGAGAGAGAGAGAGAGAGAGAGAGAGAGAGANATGCCAAATTTTTTGGAGTTGTCTTTGCTAAACTAGTTTATGGCCAATAATTGGTCAATTCCTCTTGCATATTGTTATCTAGTGTCAATATTTTA